AGGATTCTTCTCTGGTTTTACCCAAGGCATTTAAGAATGCTAAATACCACTGGTGGTGTTCTCCCAAGGGAGAGGAGTCTGTAGAGTAAGTAGTAAAATCTTGTGTCCACTGTCCTTGAGCCCATCCAGATAAATCCCTTTGATCACTGGGAGCAAGAAGGGGAAGAAATTGTAACTTTACATGGCATCACAAACAGTGGCCTCATAATGGCCTGCTGGAGCTAGAACACTGGGTCTACTGTTTGGGCTTATTGATCTAGGCAGGCAAAATTGTTTTTCAGTGGAGGCTTCCTCCTCTCCTGCATGTTCCTGTTTTGTACGTAAATAGTGACTAGTTTGGCAAAACTCCACTGCCCTCTTGTTTTTGCCTCCCAGTAATGATTAGGATCAGTAGGATAGTAATTGATTTATTATTCCAATCACAATACAGCACAGTAGGTTTAAACAGCCAGGAAACCTGATCTGTGCTTGTAAACACTCTTCCAGCACAGCAGTAAAACACTAACTACTTCCCCTTGTAGTGCTGCTGTAATATAGGGTGTGTCATAGGACCTCATTGTTGTGACAGCAGATGACTTCATGTAAATTGAAGTCATCCCCTTTTAAAGTTAACACTTAAGCGCCAGATCTCATCTGCCAGCAGGAAAATGAAAAGTCTGCATGGCAGGAAATCAGGTATTTGGTAAGGGAGACAGTAACTAATGCTGAGGGGAGTAGGGAAATCAGTCATGTCACTTCTGCTTGTCCCAGACAGACCACGATTGTACTAGAAACTCTTATTAGTTCAGTGGTATTCTGAGGTGCCACTTTTTTAAAGTAGGGTTGGGGTGTTATAGGCATGATGGTCCAGTAAATGTATGAGACAAGGATTTTGTGGTGATTTATCTTTTACTGGAGAAACTGTATAGCTGGGAGAGAACTCAGACAAGCTTTTGGGCACAGTGCCCTTCCTCGGGTTGATTCATGCCCATAATTTCTTTCCCAGTATGGTCCAATAAAAACTATCACTTCTTTGACTTTTTTGGGGGGGTTGTGTGTATATTAAAAAAAAAAAAAAAAAAATCCCAATTTACGATGCAATTTATAAGAGTGATTGCCAGCATAGCTATTGCTCAAGAAAAGCACTTTGAGTATGCATCTACATTATGGACTTCATGCCTTTACAGGCTGCTGTTACATCATAGATGTAGTTATACCAGCAAAGCAGTGCTTTTAACAACGAAGCTTGTCTTGCTTGCGGAGGAACGTATTTCTGTATCAGTACAAGCACATCACTGCTGCTTTAGCCACATCTATGCTAGGAGCATTTTGCCAACATCAGTAATAACTGTTGCACAACCATCGCGAAACTCAGGATTTCTAAGTTAAAACAACTAACTCGTGATCTCCTGATCAAACCTTCAAATCTCCAGATTTTCCCAGCTGGTAAGTCTGTGGAAGGGAAGAGCTGAGCGAGAGATTGAGGCCCCCACAGTGAGGGAAGGAGTCAGTAGGGCAGGGGTGAATGGGACCCCAGGGCTGGGGCAGGTTGCCCAGAGGTGTGGCTCCCTGCATCCCCAGAGATAGGCTGCCTGCTATAGGCTTGGGACTCTGTGTCCTGCTGTCTTTGCCCCATGAGCTCAGCCATGCAACACCATTTCTGCTCACTGGGCATGCTGGCTGCATGGTGCATCCTCTGCCCACCTGGCAGTAGGAGGCACACTGGCATCCTGCGGCTGAGTTCCTGGGGCAAAGGCAGTAGGGCACAGAACCTGAGCCAGTGGCAGGCAGCCCACCTCAGCCCCATGGGGAACACATGCCCCCCCATGCCTGGGGGTATGCATAGCTGTGGGGACCTGTCCCTGCCCCACTCCCTCACCGTGGGGGGCCTCAACCTTCCCCTGCCCCTTTCCCCTCCATTTACCAGCTGGGTGGTGTCTGTGTCCCTCACTCCCAAGCCACAGGCCCCCTCCTCCCAACCCTGCTGCTGCCACCTCTGACTCCTGACCCACAGTACCCCACATCCTGCTGTGGTGTGCCGGGACCCTTCCTTCCCAGGCTCCAACC